AAAATAAAATAAAACCGGAACGGCCCGTTCTGAAACTGGAACGGGCCGTTCTGGTTGCATTTTCGTTGTGTTAATTTTGCACCTGGAACGGGCCGTTCCGGATGCAAAATTAACACACCAAAAGTGCACCCAGAACGGCCCTTTCCGGTTTCAGAACGGGCCGTTCCGGGTCCAGGTGTTTTAAAAAAAAATTTGATCCACGTGGCATCCACGTATGCATCTACGTGGCGTCCACGTGGCCAAAAGTTAACACCGTTAAAGCAATTTGGACGGAAAGTCCCACATTGAAACCAATTAATTAATATGGGACTAAATTGAAACCAATTAATTAGTTTGGGACCAAATTGAGACTAAAAATTAATGAGGGACTAAATTGAAACAAAAAAAGATTATAAGGACCAAATTAAGTTTTTAGCCAAAAATATAAGTGTAGGTCCCATGATTTTGTTTTACTTCTTTTGCTTTCTTGTTTTTAAAAGTATGAAAGAAAGAAAAGTTTTTTTATTCTTTTTTAAATATATGATTTTTTTTCATTCTTTTTCCCTCTCCTTTCCTTCCACTTTGTCATATTACAAAAAATGTAATAATGTAGGATAATAAGATTCAAAGTTCTTCATTATTAAGAGAGAATAGATTAAGTTCGACTAAATTTTATTAGGTATAAGTGTGACGCTAATTTAAAAATATATAATTTAAGTCTAATTTATTTATCTGTTAAAAGTTTTTTTTCCCTTTATTAAAGGTTTTACTTAACATTAAAAATTTGGTTTGATTTACAAATCCATTTATGAAGGACTTGTTTTCTAATAATTTAATATATAGAAAAGAGTATAATTTTTTTTTTTAGTTTTATAAACATCAAGTTAATTTGTGTGAATGATATAAAATAAGATTTAATATGATATTCATAAGAATAATTTATTTAAAAGCATATTTATGTAACAAGATATCTAAATATATATAGAAAGTTATAAACTTATAAATTTTACTTTTTTACGTAAGTTCACATGCTTTACATTTAAAATAAATAAATATATGGTTTTAAAATATTATAACAAAATTGATATAATAATAATAATAATAACAAATATTTATTTTTATTTAAATATAATAATTTTTTAGGTCAAATAAATAAATATATCGTTTAAATTTAAATCCTAAACTTATAAATTTTACTTTTTTACGTAAGTTAACAAGCTTTGCATTTAAAATAAATAAATATATGGTTTTAATATATGATAACAAATTTGATATAATAATGATAATAATAATATTTATTTATTTATTTATTTTTATTTAAATATAATAATTTGTTAGGTCAAATAAGCTTTTTAATCGACTTAAATATATTTTTTTAATTAAATAAGTGAATAGGGTCAACAATAGTCTTGCCTTGAACTTCCTTTTTAAAAAAGTCTAGCATGGCATAGCCTAATATAAAGTATGACTATGTCAAATAATTTTAATTATTTTTACATCTACTCATTATTAAAGTAGCCGTTATTGATAACCTCAAG